CTACAGAATTTCTTTTTGGGATAAAGAAAACATTCTGGAATTATATAGTGGTGATGGTTACACAATCTTGTGACTGTGCTAAAAACTCATGAATTATACACTTTAAAAGAGTAAATTTTATGGTATGTGAATTATATCTTAAAGCTGTTATTTTTAAAAATGAAATAAAAAATTACTGGATAAGATTCACAAATTAATTTCATCAACTAGAAGGTTAGATGATCTCTCTGGTGGCTTTTGGTTCTTACAAAAGTTAAATTTTAGTCAAACCTACAGTGTGCCACACGCTTATATACATTTTTTACACTTAGTTCTCAAGAAATTCCTGAAACGGAAGCTCAGAAAAGTTAAGTAACTTGTCCAAGTTCAATAGCAATTAAGCGAAGATAAAAAGTATTTAAAATCTACATCTGACTGTAGGCATCCCTATTTGTTACAACATGTAACGATGTCATACATTTCCTAATGTATTGTAACATAATGATGCAAGTCTTTGCAAGAGGCAACAAGTTAAAACCTATTATTACTTAATAGGTGGAATGAAGTTTTCACACATTGTGTCAAAGAGTCAATGGTGTGGCAGTTAATTATTTTTCAGTGGAATTATGCATATTTAACAACCAAACAATACACGACTATACACATATTCTAATGAATTTTTTAATTTTTATTTTAGTTAGCTCTAATTTTAGCAATCTGAACAAATCAGAAAATTTTCAAATGGGTCCCAACATTTTAAACATTAAACCTAGTACCAATTGGTCTAATCATTTCACTTCCAGAAAACAAGTCTCTCAAAGAATGGCTAATAAAGTTTGGAAATATCTACAGCAGTTGAGCAAAAATTTAATAGCAAGAATAATTAACCTCTCAGAAGTAGGCTGCACTCAAGGTTTATTGGCACAGGAATTTTGTTTGTTGGCTTTAACAAAAGCCAATCTTAAAAAAAGTTTATCACAATCCAGCAAAATTCCAGTATATCCCATGGTCAAACAAAAGTCAAACAACATCAGAAAGAAATGTGGAAGAGATATTTTACTTTACAATGTCAAATACAGGAATACTCTCGACTTAATAGTTTGAATATTAATGTTTTGCCGGATGTTCAGAGACATCTGGCAAAAAATATGTAGACACTAATCAAAACTGAAACATGCTATTATTAATATTATGAAAATATTTTATTCATCCTAGTTTTCTTACCCCTGCTGTCTCTTTTTAATTTTTCTTCACATTACTGGCATCTGGTGTAAATTAGAAAGCACCTAATCACAAATTTCAAGTGTCTCCTTATTAACCACAAAGCAAGTAGCTCACCCTGGGTGTGTGCAGGTGTATGTGCATTTCCTAAGGCCTCTTCAAAGGTGTAACAGTCATATAGTCACATATATGATAGATGGCAGTGTTGCCTAGTTTATTTCCTTTAAATATTCTGTCCACCAGATTTACTTGTCCACAACCCTGGCCCCAAATTACTTATTGTGAATACAAAACAAACAGAACCGTGAAATCTATAATCCAGCGATATCTGGAAATGATCCTCCTCTACCTCATCCCACTCTAACCTGGACTCTGTTCTTTTCTCAGGATTTGTCTCATAGGGTAGTTTGCTTTGCTCATGAAAGAGAACAAGACAATGATATTTTATTTTTAGCAAAGCAAGTTTTAATAACTCATGCCAATTTTAAGGAAAGCCTCCTTAATATATCAAAATTCTTATAATTTATAATATTAACATTATTCATTTGAAATTAAGTTCCAACATCACTATTTTCTAATTTTCAATAAGACTCTGACCGCTTTTAAACAAAAAATTCAGTTCATCCTTTCTGAATATTTTTTATCAATTCCATCCCTGCACGTTTATTGTTATACAGTGCCAAATTTATAAATACTTTCATTAAAAACCACCACCCAGACAATTAAAGTATATAACCTTTCCAATTACCTTTTCAATTCTTAAAAGAGTATTTTCTCTACTCACAGATAAATGATGATGTATCACTTGGAAACTGAAGGCTTTCTCTCAAAGAAGTAAATCAGTTGCCCCATCCTTTCCTCATTTAAAACAAGGTTGCTGTTTCTGGCTGTGAAAAGGGCTGAGAAGTTGTCTCCTGGCATGTGTGTATTAATCAAAATACTGGCAGGGAGACACGTACAATTTTAAGGGAGTATTTCTTTCGTAGTTTGATGTGTTAGCAAATTATGAACAGGAAAAAATGTTTCGTACAAAGCTACTACACTTCATTTTAAAATGAAAACTTAAAACAGTATATCCAAAAACTGAAGCTTTGACTAACGATAACAATTTTATAACTTATGCTAACTTTTCATGGGTCCTACAATTAACACATTTGTGTTGAGCATATTAACATTAAATCTATCACTTATTTCTCAAAATACTAAATATTCTCCTATCCAAGAAATGAATTACAGATACCTGGTACTACATACAAATTACTTTAAAATAAATTATGTAAAACAGCCTTAAATTCAAGGATTGTACAAGGGATTTTTGAAAACCACAGTGGATTGCAAGTTGGAAGGAAATACAGCTGTCCTTTCATCTACACTTGCAGAAAAGTTAGCCAAGCAACATACAAACAGAAATACGAAAAAAAAAATTTAAGAGAAATGGTCTCCAATTTTCTGTGCTTAGGCAGAAAAAAAAGTTTCCCTAACTGAGTCTGGCTTCAGCTGTATTTGTTTCTTTACTGCAATTACATGAATATTACCTATTAGGTGGACATTTATGCCTGATCTAAGTAAAGCAAATGGACAAATATATTCATCTTAAAGAAATTTAAACAGAAAAACAGAAGACTCAATCCACTCCGGGCTTGGGTTGGATATATTACAATGTAAACTCTCTCCAAGTCATAGAGAATATTTACAGAATACTTAAAAAATAACGGAGTGGGGCAGGCCCCATGGCTTAGCGGTTAAGTGCGCGCGCTCCGCTGCCAGCAGCCCAGGGTTCAGATCCCGGGCACGCACCGACACACCGCTTCTCTGGCCATGCTGAGGCCACGTCCCACATACAGCAACTAGAAAGATGTGCAGCTATGACATACGACTATCTACTGGGGCTTTGGGGGAAAAAAAAATAAAAATAAAATTAAAAAAATAACGGAGTGGTGGAAGATGAGGGTCAGAGGCACTCGGGAATGAAATATTTTTACTCTAACAAAACTCTTAGGAAAAAAGAACATAAAATTCCTTCAGAAAATGTATTTAAAAATATGTAATCTTTCCATTTTCACTATACTAATTATAACATCTGAAGGCTTTTAGCAGACTTCACTATGACGGAACACGTTTATGATTTCTTAAAACACAGAGAAGCACGCACATTGCTTTCTGTCAAGAAATGTGGATCCTTACTAAATTTATAACACAAAAAAAAGAAGCAGATGACGTGATGTAGTAGAAACTGCTTGAGACTTAGAATATAGAGACATAGTGAGGAACAAATCTAGTATATATGGTACCTTTGGGCAAATCAGAAACAGATGTTCCACTCTTGGTAGCCAGAGCTCTGGCACAGTGAGTGAAGAGCAGGCTGGATGCCAGTCTCCACTCAAACTCTTGGCTCTGTGCAGTATAACAACTGCATATCCAGATCAGGCAAATTCAAACTTGGCTCTACCACTGATTAGCCTGGAGTCTTAAACAGGTGATTTAACTGAGGTTCAACTTCTTTATCTCCAAAATGGAGATTACAGAGCGCTGTTAAGAGGATTATTGTAGATATTACATAGAATGGTGTTTGCTATAGCATCTAGTACAGTACTCAATAGACAAATAAATGGCAAAACAACAACAACAAAAACTCTCTCCATCCATAGAAAAGTGGAAGTCTCTCTTTTCACATCTATAATAAATGGTCAAGAAATAAAATACTTCATTTGAGTTTGCCTAGTTTTAAGGTAACACAAGTTAGTGTATACTCCTAACACTAGTTCAGTGATCACTCGTGTGTGTGTGCAGGAAGAGAGGGCAGTAAGTTCAACGATCAAATAATCTAAGTTTGGAAACATATATTTGACATCAATCTCTCTGTGGATTCATAATGACTATTAGTATTCTAAAGGATCTAAGAAGTCTTATTTTAATCCACTGTTTTCAAAATTTATTTGATCACAGAACTTTGTTTGTATCTCATGGCACTAGTTTTTTTGTTTGTTTTTTCCACAGACTGGAACTTGGGAATAGACAGTATAGGGAATTTTGAGCCACGTTTTATGTGTATTTTGCCATACAAATAGCACCAGTTCTTCTTATTGACAGTCACTAATTAAAGAAAATCAATAGATTTTAAGCTACAGATATTAATTTTATTACTATTTTACAAACTTTAAGGAAATCAGAAATTCAACATCTGAAAGCTGCTTTTCAGTAATTTTGGTATAAAAGTTTGAGTTTGAAATAAAATGTGAATTCCAAGGCTTTAAATGTTAGGCCACATGTAGAAATTTTTAATTCGAAGATTATATCTAAAAACCATGTTGGGGCCAGCCTGGTGGCGTAGCGGTTAAGTGCGCGCTCTACTTCGGCGGCCCAAGGGTTCGCAGGTTCGGATCCCGGGCGTGCACCAACGCAGTGCTTGTCAAGCCATGCTGTGGTGGCGTCCCATATAAAGTAGAGGAAGATGGGCACAGATGTTAGCCCAGGGCCAATCTTCCTCAGCAAAAAGAGGAGGATTGGCAACAGATGCTAGCTCAGAGCTGATCTTTCTCACAAAAACAAATAAATAAATAAATAAAATTAAAATAAAAACCACGTTGTAGTGACTGAACATTTAAGCCATATGTTTAGCTCTATGTGGCTAATAATGAACAATGATGGTTATATGGCTTTTCCAAGAAAAGCACCGATCTTGGTCTGAATTCAAACTGCTATTGTTTTACATCCTCTTAGACTCCTCTTCCTCTCTATACACATTTATGTTAAGAGAAACAAAGCAAAACATTGTCTATTATTCTGCTGTTTTTACTTACCTAATATTTTCACAGCATAATGAGGACTTTCTAATACAACTCCTTCCTCTGTATCAAATATAGGGTTATCTATTCCAGTCTTTGGAGGAATTTGGGCTAGTTTCTTAAGTCTCACAGAAGAATTAAGGTCCAGTTCTTGTTTTTTCCCTTCTTCCTCTCGCCTACGCCTCATGTCCTCCTGCTGTTGCCGAATACGCTCCAACTGTGCACTTCGACGTACTGGCATCATCCTGGTGCCCAAATCTCCAGGGCAGTCAACAGCCATCTCTCGGTGCTTCTGATGATCCTCTGGTGATGCAAGATCAACATTTTTTACTTCGAAGTCTGATTCCTCAGTAACATGCCCATTCATATGGGATGTTGTCATGGTTATCTATAAAAACCTGTACCACTTTTTATAAATCAATTTTTCCTATAAAGCCAATCTCTTGATTCTGTAGTATAAAATCCATGTTACTTCAAAAAAAAAAAAACTTCTCACATCACATAATAATGCTATGAAAATGTATCCATGAAGGAAATCTAAGGGGAAAGATGAGGAAAAAAAGTATAAGAATTACAATATAAAAGTAGATTTTACATAGCCCACTTCCAATCTCTACACAATAAGAAAATATCTCACAAGTATATAATATTATTTTGCTATATAGAGTAAATACTTTCCTTACAAGTATATAATATTATTTTGCTAAATAGAGTAAATACTTTCCTTTTATCTTACAGATAATGCTGGGGAAATCAAGGTGTTTCAAAGGAAAAAAAGTCCCCTCCCAAGAATTTGAAGTATACTGCTTAACTTTACAGCTGATAAAAATGATGATGTAAGAAAGTTTTGGGTACTAGTGTAGTAGAGAACAGGTTGCTTAAGCTATAAAGATGTTTTAATCATCTTTGTATAACTGTCTCAACACAGTACTTTATACTCAATTAACACACCTGAGATAGAAATAACTTCCTAGTTAACTGCTAAAGAAACTGGCATACAGCAAGCCATGTTGGTGGCTCACCTAAGATAAAGGTAGTATTTTGGGGGACAATTCACTTTTAGGAGTTTATGAGATGAAGATACCCAATGAAAAAGAAATTTTAATTAGAAGCTAAGGTATCTATAGGATAAAACCACATTAAGTGAGAAAAAGACTACACGGGTTATCAGTCTTTATAACTGGTCACATGAAAAAAAAAATAGGGTTATTCTTTACAAAGATTCATTCAGAGAAAATAGTAGTACCTGTTACCACCCAAAAAATTTTTAAGTTCATATTGTACAGCAAATGGAACATTTTAGACTTGGAGACCAGAAAACTGAATTTTAATTCTGGCTCTACCACTTCCTCTAGCTTTATGATTTAAGACTGGTCTTAAGACTAGTCAGAAAAATTTCTCTCTATGAACCTCAGATTCCTTTATTCATGAAAATTTATTCATAGGATTGTTCTGAACTTTAAATGAGATAATGTATACACATTTTAAAACTAAAAAATATACATACTTACATTAATTCTTAGTATTAATTTGATTCTATTTAAAAAAATCCTTCAACATATTTTAGACAAGAAAAATATTTTACTGGATGACATTGGCCTTTCATCAAGCCATTTCTCAGGCATAACTAGGCAGATTGTTTATATATGTGTAAACCCACACATTAAATCTAATTAGTCTTCTTTTACTCAAGACTTTAAAAATATTTACAATAATAAACCTACTACCTCCTTGAGTTGGACATCACTTCAGTATACGCCAACTAAGCAAAAGCTGAATTTTCAGACAATATTCCTAACGCCAGCCAATCTTCTTTCAAACAAACATCTTGTCACAGACTGCTTAACACAAACTCATGTCGACTACGAGGAAAACCACTAGTCCCACAATCAGGAAAATAGATACTAGCTACATAAGCCACTAGAATTATATTTTCAAAAGAATTTTGGTTGATTTTTCTGTCTTCTATCCAAATTTTAGCTTCTCTCTTTATTATAACTATGTGCGCTAAACATAAATACCTTATTTATCATTAGTTTGCCTTCTTTTTCATTAAAATGAGAGCTATCAGAATTATGTTAGGCAATTCCTAAGTTTTATATATTGATTATATGCAAATACAAATTTGGGTTAATGTTTTCATTACAAGTAGAAACTTGTGTAGGAGTTACTGTAGTGCTATGCTTAATTTTAATTTTAAAAATCTAGGACTGTATGTAGTTCCAGAAAATTAAAACTCTCAGCTTTCTATATTTACAATGTTTACTAGATATTAAACATTAAATTTAAGAATGAATAATGTATTTTTTACTTTATATGCTGGTCTACAAAAATTATGATTTGAAATTAAAACTCCCAACTTAAAAACCGTAAGGCTGGGTCCTTACAGTTTACTAGATCACGGGGGCAAAATTATAGATCATGCAAGAGAGGCTGGGCCAGGTGATCTGAGTCTGAGTTCTCATGCTTGGACTATTATCATGCTTGTCTATCTGGATCTAGTCTTTTATTCTCAGAAAAATTTCTTCAACCTGATATTAATCTGCTTAAAATGCCATTTTGGTTATCCCCCTAGGAGTGTTCAAAGTCTACTGAGAGCGACAGCAAAGAAATAATGAATGATATTCTTCCCTAGCTGGTTTCTTCTTGTTAGATTCTAAATTCATTCAAGACAGGGGTCATGTCTTATATTTCTACATGCCCCAGTGCTTAACACAATAATGTCATATAGGAAATGCCCAATAAATATTTGTTTAACTAAACTTAGACATGTCATAAATTCAGATGATGCAAAGATGATGGACTGTGGTAAGGAGTCATAGCAAACACTCAAAACATAACAATACATTTCTTTGAGTGGCATTTCAAAGAACAACAAAAACTTAGCCAGATAGAAGAATCTGTTCCAGGCAAAGGGAATCACATGACCAATAGGAAGGAAGAGTATGAGAATATGGCACTTTCAGAAAACAGAATAGAATGCAATAAGGCCAGATGGGACAATGGCAGCATGTCATACACGAACAATGATAAAACTGGAAAGGCAAGCAGGGGGTCAGACCAAGAAGAGTTTAAGAGCTAAAGACTTTGACCTTCATCCTGAAAGTAGTAAGAATCATTACAGGATTTAAAGCAGGGGATCACATTCACTTTTAGAGAAATATCACTCTGATAGAAGTGTAAAGGATTGACTAAAGGGTGGCAATGACACCAGTTTGAAGGCCGAAGGCAACTAAGAAATGGGGTCCCGAACTAAGACAGTGAGAAGGAAGATAAGTTATATTAAAGAAATATGTAGTTTATAGAATTACTAGAATTTGGTGTCTATATTTCATATAGTAGGGCAAAAAGAGAAGAGGAGAAAGGAAGAAGAGAAGTAGGAAGTAGCAGTAGCAGTAGTAACAACCACAACTATAACATTTACTGAGCACTTACGTGCCAGACAAAATTGCAAGCACTTCATACAGTACTCACTCATTTATTCCTCATTACTACTCTAAAAGTAGGTCTAAATATGCCTGTTTTGTAAATGAAAAATGGGGATTGAAGTAGGCCTTGAAGATAGGATGGAAGAATAAGAAAGAGGCCATATGAACCAAAGACAGGAAGATAAAAAGTTTGGGAAAAGCACAGATAAGGCTGGTTGAACTAAAGCAGTCAGCTTGTATAAGAGAATAGTGAAAGGCAGCTTGTACAACAGAATAGTGGCTAGAAAGGCTGACTGGGTCCAACTTATGAAAAGTCTTTAATTAAGTCCTTAATTCTCAAGGCAGGAAGAAAGCCATCGAAGATTTAGAAAAGCGGGGTGATTTGTACATAAATTTAATTGAGCATTTACCCCTGGCTAGGTACTAGGGTTATAGAGATAGGATCTCTGCCCATTAGTCTATCAAAATGTCTTACAGGGATCTAGAAATTAATGTGTCCAGAATTAAACTCATATTTCCCTTCAATCCACTCATATTCTCCTTGATCCTCTTCCTCCATTCTCAATTCTAATTAATGCCACTATATCCACCCAGTTACCCAACACAGCATAATGTTTAAGAGAACAGTTTCCAGAATCAGACTGTCTAGGACCTAATCCTTGCCTACTCTCCTTTTAAGTCTCAACTCAAATAAATCCTCCTCTGGATTTCCATGACTCCCCAAACCGGATATGTGCCTCCTCTGGATCCCACAATGCCTGTCACATCTCTAATCAAACGGGACTACGGTTATTTGTACCTCTGTCTGTTGGCTCCATCAGACTAGAAGCCCTTAGAGGTCAGGAACCAGCCTAACTCATCTCTGGATCTGTGACATTGCCCAGCACAGGGCCAAGCAAACAGGAGGCTTCAGAATATGAACCCAGGCAGTGTGACTCCAGGGCCACTATCTCTGGGTCACTAGGTGGATGGCAATGTCATTAATTAGGATGGAGAATACAGGAGAAGGAGAGACAGAAGGGGAGAGAAATTAAAGAGTAATATGGGTTTAGTTCTGGACACATTAATTTCAAGGTGACTACAGGTCATATAGGTAAATGATCTAATTAGCAGGGAATCTTTTTGTTTGTTTGTTTGTCCACGCCTGGGAACCGAACCCAGGCCGCCTAAGCAGAGTGTGTGGAATTTAACCACTAGGCCACCGGGGCTGGCCCAGCAAGGAATCTATCTATCTTACTCATCTCTATAGCCCTGCTATCTTCTAAGAGATAAATGCTTAAGTATATGGGCAAATCACTCCTCCTCTGATAGCTTTCATATTGCCTAGAGAATAGAGTCCAAACTCACAAGGTAAATCCAAATTTTCTAAGAGTATCTTTTACTACTTGCCTGCACAAGCCTTCTAAGTTAGCTTCCTTATTTGTGCCTATCCCACAGCTTTTTTCTTCCTGCCCAAATGCCTTATAAACTAAGAAATATGAACTGCTTCTCCTTTCATATTCTACCTTCAAGATCTACCACAAGTCCTTATTCCTTCAAGAAATCTTTCCAGATCACCTCAGTTAAATAATGATCTCACCAAACAACACTCCAAAAGACTTTCTAACGCTCACAAGTTACTTCACAAGGGCCATGAAAGATTCGAAAGTTCTTCCACGATCAAAGAAATATTAGGCTATGTCACATAGTTTTAGTATTATGATCATTATAATCTTTAAACAGGTAAACCATGAATACTCTAGCTCATATTTGTAGTCAATACATATCAATAAACAGTGAAAGAATCCCAATCCAAAGGAATTATACTCTCCCGCTCCAAAAAAAAAGAAAAAAGTTCTTTGATAATTCAGAATCTGGTAAATGACTGAACTAGAGAATTACCTCCTTATACGTAAATAAAAGACTGCCTTATGCAGATAATGTGGTTACAAGTTGCTGGCCCTCTCTTCTCAATCCTCTAATTAGAAATAAATTGTTTTTAAAATGCCTCAAAGACCCACATTTCAAATCTTTGTCAGAGTCCCAGCTCATACCCACCCCCCACCATGAAAAAAATAAATAAAAGAAAAATTGAAAAATAAATCAAAACTGTTTACAGAGTCCACAGAGCAAAAAAATGAATTTTCAGGTTGGCAGGCCAAAGCTGTTTCAAAGCTGACTTCAAACTAGTGGGGGAGAAAGGGCTTTGCTTTTGTGAGTTGGCTACAGGAGATGAGGGTAAAAGGAAGCTAAATAAACTTCAATAAGTACAAATGGTTGAGATCGGGGGGCCTGAAATAGCCTGAGGGATACAGGCCCACTGAAAACTCCACACCGAGAAACAACTATTTGTGGGAGAGCTGGGGAACACGATAGGTTAGCAAGAAGACAATTTCGTATATAATCAGTATCCTAATTTTTAGGCAGAGGGAAACGTAAAACATACAATTCATATGCATAAACATCGTCGGTCTACACTAGTGTCCAGAATTCCAGATTTTTTTTTTTTAATTCCTCCTTCCTCCCCTTGTCCCACAAGTAATGCCCTTTGACCAGCAGCTGGGAAGTCTCATTTTAAATGATCAGCATTCCTCTGACATTCTAAGAAGTTGGACTATTTGTTTCCATAGAAACAGCTTTGTCAGCTAACAGAAGAATCAGGCCAAGAACAGTGAAAAGAACTTACATTATGCAAATTGGAAAGACCTTATCTATTATCCTCTTAAGTTTCTCTTCTCTGATTTTTCACAGAACTCTGGCTAACTTTCTTACTCTGTAAAACAGAAAAGAGACAATCAAGTGTACAAGTCTGCAGTGTTTTTTAGAGGGAGGGAGTGGGAGAGAAAGGTCAATTCAATATGATATCCAACTCCATTTACAGATGGCTAGGATTTCTTAGTATGAAGTAGTAAAAATGCACCCTCCCCCCACAATCTCTAATGTACATCAAGTAAAATCACTTTAAATTACCTGAAATCAGTGATGAGAAAGAGGTAAACGTAACCCGTTTAAAAGCTTTTTAAAAAGGGTAAGACTCTTTTGCAGAGTTTTTTTTTTTTTTTT